ATTTCAATTTTTTTAAAGTTCTAGTAAATAGATTTTACGAATTTAGTTAAAAGTAAAATATTTTGCAACCGCGCACACTAAATACGTTTCAAAATTGTTTTTTTAATTTTTAAATTTACAAGAAAATTTTTTTTAATTTCCGAAAATCATAAACAATCATATCGGTTACTTGGGTTTTTTAATTTTTTTATTTTATATCTTTTTGTAAAGAAAAAAACTAATTTTTTTTTTCTTAATAGTCTTATGAACGTGGACTTGGCGCGATTTTTTTACAGTGAAACTGTTTTTGTTCGGATATAATGTAACGAAGCGCTCCGCGATAAAAACTGAAAAAATTACAGTTTCAGATTGTAATTATTACAGATTTTAGAAGAATTACATTTTAGAATGTAATATTTACGCATCGAAAGCTCTGAAAATTAACATTCAAAGTTTTAATTTATAAAAATTTTATTTTAAACTGTAATTTTTCTAGTTTTTAATACGACGGGACACTTATTACTATTTATAATTTCTATTTATTCCGAAGATCGGTGATTTCATTAATTGAAGAGTAAAGTAATTCAAAGCCAACTTTTGATCCCGATCCAAATTGACGGTAAACTAAATTTTAATTTTCATTAAATTTCAATTCTTACTTATTATCTATTTACACCACATTATTTTCGGTATGAGGTTTCATACCATCCTCGGGTGACATATATCTAACAATTAAAAATCTTTATTTAATTAAGATTATATTGTTTACTCAGTGAATCTTTTTTTCGGCCAATCAACTATTTATAATGTAATTTTTCAAGTTTTTTTTTTTTTTTTTTTTTTTTTTCCATCGCAGTTGCCTGTTTTGACGAAACTACGTATATTTACAAGAGCTATTCTCTGTATGCTTAAGTTAAACAAATGAATCCTTAAATGAAAAAACCGGATTGTTATTTTGAGGAAACATCATTAATTTAAGGATACGTTGGATAGTCATCTTAACAATATTTTTTTTTTTCATGCGAATCAATTGTTAGTTAGTAATTAGTGTTTGTGTGAGTAGTGATATAATTAAAAGCATGCGTAAAATTACATCAAAAGCGATACATTTAGGCGATAAATAGATCAAATTAATTTTATTTAATTATGAATAGTAAATGCTTTTAAAAAATGAATACTGAAAAATGAAAAATACACAATAATTTAGTTAAAAAATATATCAAGCAGTATGTAGGTAATAAATGAAATGAAATCAACGCGTTAATGATTTTGGGCTTCTAATTTCTAGTCGGGAAATGAAGGAAATGGAAGTTATGCCGAATATTATATCGTAGTTGTGAGAAAAATGATAAATCGTTCGAAATAGTTGATAAATGAAGTTAAAATTTGAAATCAATATTGTGATCAAAGAGTGTCCGTTTTTTTTTTAGCAATTTCTTAATAATTTATTTTCTTTTTCCAAAAGTCTGCACTGATAAGGATTTAGTTTTATTCAATAAGATTTAATAATAATTAAACCTTTCATTACTAAATATTTAGTAATAGTTACTAA